ACCCCCCACCCCCCCTTTTTTCTAATAAATCCCCCTCCTCAAACTTATAACCCCCCACCCTCTATATACTGTAATCCCCCCCCCCTCTATAACTGTATATCCCCCACCCTCTATATACTGTAATACCCCCCCCCCTATAACCCCCCACCCCTTTAATACTGTATATACCCCCCCCCTTTTAAACTGTATATACCCCCCCCCTCTTATACTATATAACACCTCTATAAATCTAACGTAAATACCCCGCACTCCTCATATATACTGTATTAACCTCCCACCCTCTATATACTGTGATATACACCCCAAACCCTTCTTCTTTCAAAAATAAAAAAACACCCAATTTTACCTCTATATACTGTTATATACCCCTCTCCTCTAATATCATACCCATTTCTTTGTATATAACCTTGCCCACACCTCTATAATACTGTATAACCCCTTATCCCTCACACCCAATTTTCCTAATACTGTATATACCCCCTCCCACTATATACTGTATAATACCCCCCACCCTCTATATACTTGTATATACCCCCCCACCCTCTATATACCCCCCACACTCTCATCATAATTACTGTATATACCACTCCCACCCTTTCTATATACTGTAATATACCCCCCCTCCCTCTATATACTGTATATATTAATAAACCACCCTCTCTAATATACTGTATATACCCCCACTCCCCTCTATATACTGTATCATACCCCCTCCCTCCCTCTAAACTATTCCCATTTACTGTAAATACCCCCACCCTCTATATACTGTATATACCCCCCCCTCTATATACTGTATATACCCCCACCCTCTATATACTGTAATATACCCCCTCCACCTCTAATACTGTATATACCCCCCACCCTCTATATACTGTATATACCCCCCCCACCCTCTATATACTGTATATACCCCCCACCCTCTATATACTGTAATATACCCCCCACCCTCTATATACTGTATATACCCCCTCCCTCCCCCCCACCCTCTATATACTGTATATATACCCACCCCTCTATATACTGTATATACCCCCTCCCTCTAAATACTGTATAACAACCACCCCCACCCTCTATATACTGTATATACCCCCACCCTCTATATACTGTATATACCCCCCCCCCTCTATATACTGTATATATACCCCCCACCCTCTATATACTGTATATACCCCCCACCCTCTATATACTGTATATACCCCCCACCCTCTATATACTGTATATCCCCTCCACCCTCTATATACTGTATATACCCCCACCCTCTATATACTGTATATACCCCCCCCACCCTCTATATACTGTATAATACCCCCCACCCTCTATATACTGTATATACCCCCCACCCCTCTATATACTGTATATACCCCCCACCCTCTATATACTGTAATACCCCCCACCCAAAGCTCTATATACTGTATATACCCCCACCCTCTATATACTGTATATACCCCCCCCACCCTCTATATACTGTAATATACTGTCCCCACCCTCTATATACTGTATAAACCCCCACCCTCTATATACCTTTATACTGTATATACCCCCCTCCTCTATATACTGTATATACCCCCACCCTCTATATACTGTATATACCCCCCACCCTCTATATACTGTATATAAACCCCCCACCCTCCTTTATATAATAAAATATACCCTCCACCCTCCTCTATATACTGTACAGGGGGATATACAACTCATGGGGCCCCCGGGGGCAATTAGGGGATCATGGGGCCCCTGTGTCCTTGCCCAAACTCCATATTAATTTATGATAACTGGTACCATAATGGGGCATCTCATGGGGCCCCCTACTGAACCCCAATCAGCTTTACAAGCCCCGCCCCGGGCATTACCTGAACAAGTTTCCAAATGGTCTGCCAATGCGAGCCACCAGTTTTTTATATATTAACCCCCACCCTCTTCTAGATACCTTGTATACCTGTTATATACTCTCCTCCTCTATATACTATATATACCCTCCACCCTCCTCTATATATTATATTATACCCCCATCCTCTTTTCTCTATATTTCTATATATACCCTCCACCCTCCTCTATATACTAATATATACCCTCCACCCTTCTATATTTATATATACCCTCCACCCTCCTCTATATACTATATATCCTTATCCACCCTCCTCTATATACTCGGGAATTAGAACTCCACCCTCCTCTATTACTATATATACCCTCCACCCTCCTCATATTCTATTTTCACCCTCCACCCTCCTCAATAGGCTATATTAAGCCCTCCTGGTTCCTCTATTTAACTATTATACCCCTCCCCCCCTCTATATACTGTTATACTCCCCCCTCCTCTATCTAGAGATACCCTTCCCTTTATACTATATATACTCCTCCACCCTCCTCTATATACTATATATACCCTCCACCCTCCTCCTCTATATACTATATATACCCTCCCACCCTCCTCTATATACTAATACTATATATATCCCTCCACCCTCCTCCCTCTATACTATATATTCATACCCTCCACCCTCCTCTATATACTATTATATACCCTCCACCCTCCTCTATTTACTAATATTTATCTAAGAAGAGAATGATGACGGAATTTACTACAAACTGGAACTGGCCAATCAGCTTCAAGCTTTCATTTTCAAAACTTACCTGAACAAGCAGAAGCTGGAAGCTGATTGGTTGCCATGCAGAGCAGCACCAGTTTTTGAAAATTCCCCTCAATGTCTGTTTTCTGGATTCATTTATCTAGAGATATTCCCTGGAATACATACGGACTCCATCACACTAGTGGTATTATTACCCCCTGAAAAGTGATCTGTGGCGGATTGCTTTTAAGGCCCAGCGCACACTTCTGCAACCTGTGTTCTGCCCATACATGTCAATGGGATGCCCCGCCCACAGAAATGCGGAGAGGGAAGTCCCTGACCCTCTTTGTAAAATAATATTTCACCTCACAGATTTGTACATGTGAGAAACGGGGGGGGGGGGGGGGTCCATGTGTGGGGGTGTCACACCGCCTTGCGTGTCTGCTAGTGAGCTGCTTCAGTTTCTCTACCCTTCTACCGGTCAGGAATGTGTGCGATTTTGCCAGCGATCACAACCCGCATAAATGTGGATGGGGGTGGTTAGAGGACAGTGAAAGGAGATAATCCCGCCTCCTTCACATGTCTTGGGAGACGGCCCGGACTGGCCATAGGGCACACCGGGCATTTACCGGTGGGGCGGGGCCGCCTGGATAGGAGGGGCAGCTGGGTGGCACATAGAGTAACTGGACCGTGCATTTCTCCTTCCTTTTCCCCCATCCCTCCTTCCTTCTTTCCCTCCTTCCCTCCTTCCTTCTTTCCCTCCTTCCTTCCTTTCCCTTCTTCCTTCCCTTTCCCTTCCTTCCTTCCTTTCCTTCCTTCTTCCTTCCTTCTTCCTCCTTCCTTCCTTCTCCTTCCCTCCTTTCCCTCTCCCTTCCTTCTTTTCCCCTCCATCCTCCTTCTCTTCCCACCTTCCTTCCCTTTTCCCTCCCCTCTCTTCCTTCTCCCTTCCCTCCCTTCCTTCTTTCCCTCCTTCCTTCCTTCTTTCCCTCCTCCTTCCTTCTTTCCCTCCTTCCTTCTTTCCCTCTCTTCCTTCTTTCCCTCCTTCCTTCCTTCCTTCTTTCCCTCTCCCGTCTCTCCTTCCTTCTTCCCCTCCATCCTTCCTTCTCCCTCCCACCTTCCTTCTTTCCCCCTCCCCCTCCTTCCTTTTTTCCCTCCTTCCTTCTCCCCTCCTTCTCTTTCCCTCTCTTCCCTTCTTTCCCTCTCTTCCTTCCTTCCTCTCCCTCCTTCCTTCCCTCCTTCTTTCCCTCCTTCCTTCTTTCCCTCCTTCCTTCTTTCCCTCCTTCCTTTTTTCCCCTCCTTCCCTCTCCCTTCCCTCTCTCCTTCTCCTTCCTTTCCCTCTCTCCCTCTCTCCTTCCTTCTTTCCCTCCCTCCTCCTTCTTTCCCTCTTTCCCTCTCTTCCTTCCTTCCTTCTCTTTCCCTCCCTTCCCTTCCCTCTCTCCCTCCTTCCTTTTCTTTCCCTCCCTCCTTCCTTCTTTCCCTCCCATCCTTCCTTTCCCTCCTTCCATCTGATGGAGGTACCCAGGCCGGGTGCCAGGCAATCTGTCACATTTGGTTGGCAGCAGCTCTATGGTTCCTGCAGTCTGGGACATGAACACCACCACCAGGATCCAAGGTCCGGGAGAGGAACAGATCCCCGCCGCCATGAAGCCAGAGAAGGAATTCAGAAAGAGGCTGCGAGAGATGCGGATGCTCAGGGGACGCCAGAGCAGGTCCTGCTGGGATGCAGCTCAGGGCAGACCAATCCATGAAAGGTACTGGTGTCAGACGCAGTCACCCTCCTCCATCCAGCTGGTGTCATACGCAGTATGAAATTCCCTCCTCCATCCGGAAAGGTACTGGTCAACGCAGTTATGAAGCATCCATGAAAGGTACCAGTACGCAGCAAAGTCACCCTCCTCCATCCAGGAAAGGGTGTCAGTAAAGTTATGAAAGTTACCCTCCTCCATCCATGAAAGGTACTGGTGTCAGTACGCAGTTACAAAGTCACCCTCCTCCATCCAGGAAAGGTACTGGTGTCAGTACGCAGTTATGAAGTTACCCTCCTCCATCCAGGAAAGGTACTGGTGTCAGTACGCAGTTATGAAGTTACCCTCCTCCATCCATGAAAGGTACTGGTGTCAGTACGCAGTTACAAAGTCACCCTCCTCCATCCAGGAAAGGTACTGGTGTCAGTACACAGTTACAAAGTCACCCTCCTCCATCCATGAAAGGTACTGGTGTCAGTACGCAGTTACGAAGTTACCCTCCTCCATCCAGGAAAGGTACTGGTGTCAGTACGCAGTTACTGTGGGTATGCTTGCGCAAACCAGGGCTGCCAATGCATGAGCACTCCTGAGCACTGCCCAGGTGCATGGGGGCCCCATGATAATCTTGCATTACATACTTGTCAACTGTCCTGGATTTGCTGGGACAGTCACGCTTTTCGCTAAGCTGTACCTGGATGGCCTGGGCAGTGTTGCAGAACCTGCCTTGCCCCCCGTGTACTGTTCCCTCCTGATCCCAGTTTTGTGCCCTCCTGACACCCCCCCTATTCTGTGCCCTCCTGATCCCAGATTTGTGCCCTACTGACCACCCCCCCCCGTTCTGTGCCCTCCTGATCCCAGTATTGTACCCTCCTGGGTATTGTGCCTCCTAACCCCCCTCCATACTGTGCCCTCCTGATCCCAGATTTGTGCCCTCCTGACCCCCCCCATTCTGTGCCCTCTTGATCCCAGTATTTTGCTCTCCTGGGTATTGTGCCCACCTGACCCCCCTCTCCATACTGTGCTCTCCTGATCCCAGTATTGTGCCCTCCTGCCCCCCCCCCCCCCCCCCCCCCCCGTACTGTGTCCCCACCTGATCCCAGTATTGTGCCCTCCTAAACCCCCCCCCCCCCCCATACTGTGCCCTCCTGATCCCATTCTGTGCCCTCTTTATTTATTTATTTCAGGTACTTATATAGCGCTGTCAATGTACGCAGCACTTTACATATATATTGTACATTCACATCAGTCCCCGCCCCCCCCCAGGAGCGTACAATCTAAAGTCCCTAACTCACATTCATACATACACATACAAGGGCCAATTTAGACAGGATCCAATTAACCTACCAGCATGTCTTTGGAGTGTGGGAGGAAACCGGAGTACCTGGAGGATACCCACGCAGGCACAGGGAGAACATGCAAACTCTAGGCAGGTGGTGTTGTGGTTGGGATTCGAAGCAACGACCCGAGTACTGCCAGGGGGAAGTGCTAACCATTTAGCCACCTATTGATCCCAGTATTGTGCCCTCCTGACCCCCCCCCCCCATTTTGTGCCTTCCTGACCCCCCCCCCATTCTGTGCCCTCCTGATCCCAGTATTGTGCCCTCCTGACCCCCCCCCCCCCAATTCTGTGCCCTCCTGATCCCAGTATTGTGTCCTCCTGACCCCCCCACTCTCCATACTGTGCTCTCCTGATCCCAGTATTGTGCCCTCCTGACCCCCCCCCCCCATTCTGTGCCCTCCTGATCCCAGTATTGTGTCCTCCTGACCCCCCCCCCTCCATACTGTGCTCTCCTGATTTCAGTATTGTGCCCTCCTGCCCCCCCCCCCATCCATACTGTGCTTTCCTGATCCCAGATTTGTGCCCTCCTGACCTTCCCCCCCCGTATTGTGCCCTCCTGACCCCCCCCTCCATACTGTGCTCTCCTGATCCCAGTATTGTGCCATCCTGACCCCCCCCCCCCCTCCATACTGTGCTCTCCTGATCCCAGTATTGTGCCCTCCTGACCCCCCCCCCCCCCTCCATACTGTGCTCTCCTGATCCCAGTATTGTGCCCTCCTGACCCCCCCCCCCCCCCCTCCATACTGTGCTTTCCTGTCCCAGATCTGTGCCCTCCTGACCTTCCCCCCGTATTGTGCCCTCCCACCCCCCCCCCTTTATTGGGCCCCTCCTAAACCCCACCCCCGCCCCATACTGTGCCGTCCTGATCCTGTTGCTTTCATCGTTTGGCCTGTGCTGTGTGGCTCCACGCAGACGAAACATGAATTTTTTTTAGCTCACGCATGCAGTTACCATGTCCAACTGCATATTTGCGTTCCATGGTGACCAAAAAACTCAGGGATGCATAGGAGGAAACTGGGAGTTAAAAATAGCAGAGCGGTGGGGTTTTTTTGCTGCAAAAAATGCTCGTTTTTTTTTTTAACGCACCTTCCTACAGCTGACGCTACTGGCGTTTTTTTTATAACGTCCTGTGTGCGTGAGTATACAGTATATCATTTGAACAGAGACTATTAACTCTGGTTGTTCCCACATGGAAGAAAAATATATTTGAAATACTACAATTTTGGCCATATTCAGTATATGTCAAAATATCAGAATACATAAAAAGGGGGAGGTGCAGCGCTAACTAAATAAATGCACATTTATATAAACCAATGTAAAGGTGCTGTTAAAGTGCAAAAAGGTGACTATAAATAATAAGTATAGTCCATAACGTGGTCAAAACCCAAGAGAGTCTTCAAAGAACTCCAATGCCTGGATTCGTGGATGAGGTGATAAAGGTATAAAGATTGCGCACTCACCAGATACGCAATCCAAATGCGCATTCAAAACAGATAATCCTAGGGTCCTCATACGGATCTGGTCAGATCTGGTCACAAAAGCTAACCCCCTATGACTACGTGCTTTCGCACGAAACGCGTCAGAGAGCGGCTACAGCGGTGTGTGACGTCACGCCGACCGGCGCCACGAGGGCCCCGGCGGCCATTTGCTAAATCTTTGTATGGTCAGTATCTTTCCTGCCCCTGCTTGTATTGTGTTTTGTGTTTTTTTTGGGAATAAATACCCCTTGCCAATAAGGTATCACACTATTTGGCCTCCTTTTGTTCTTTGGGCTCCGGTGGGAGCCCTTTACGTCTGCAGAGCGGCCTTTTTTCTTCTATGTGTGGCAACACTATCAAGTGGCGAGGGGCTTTTGTGACCAGATCTGACCAGATCCGTATGAGGACCCTAGGATTATCTGTTTTGAATGCGCATTTGGATTGCGTATCTGGTGAGTGCGCAATCTTTATACCTTTATCACCTCATCCACGAATCCAGGCATTGGAGTTCTTTGAAGACTCTCTTGGGTTTTGACCACGTTATGGACTATACTTATTATTTATAGTCACCTTTTTGCACTTTAACAGCACCTTTACATTGGTTTATATAAATGTGTATTTATTTAGTTAGCGCTGCACCTCCCCCTTTTTATGTATTCTGATTATTTTGAAGGTTTATACGGTACCTTTTTTGGTGTTCAGCTGCTATTGTCTCATTTTCATTTATTCATTTATTGATTTTATAATCTATTTTAAGCGCTCACTTGCCCTGAGATTTACTTTATATGTCAAAATATATTTCAATAAATATATATATATACACTGTATGCTGAAATGTGTTTTTATTACAAAATATATGAAAAATCTTTTTTAAAATACATTTTAAATATACTGAATGTCTTTAAAAATGCAGATCTACATTTTTGGAATGCATTTACAAATATATGTAAAAAATATGTTAAAATTACTTTATTATATGTAAAAAAAAATGATGAATATATTAAAAAAATATATATATTTATAAATATATATTTTTTAAATATATTTTTTCAGATTTATTTAACATATAAAATTTTTTATCATATTTAATTTTAACATATAATTTTAACATATATTTGTAAATTCCATTCCAAAAATGTAGATTTGTATTTTTAAAGACGTTCAGTATATTTGAAATGTATTTTTAAAAATAATTTTCATATATTTTGTAATAAAAACGCATTTCAACATACAGTATATATATATATATACATACATACATACACACATATATAGATATACATATATTTTTTTTAAATATATTAAATACGGCCAAAATTGTAGCATTTCAAATATATGTCAATATATTTGGGGAGAATCTTTTTTAAAATATATTTCAAATATATTTTTTTTCCATTTGGGTTGTTTCTTTTGTTATCTGGGATATTATTTGTAAAATATTAGCAGTCGAGGCATTTGTATGGAAAGGGAGCGCTTCGTCGGGTTCCTGCACTGGAGCTCTGCCGGCTGACGTTGGGGCTTGTGTACAAAAAGATGAACCTGACAGAGTTTCCAATGGCCATTATGGCAGAACTTCATTCCCCGCCGTCGCTCTCTCTCCTTTTAAATTTTCAGTAATTCTATTCTTCGCACTTCACTGATTCAATAGCAAGAACATTTTTTTCTATGAAATCCTTCGGTTTAGGGTGCCGGTTACCATCTGTGTTGTAAATTCACTTTCACAACTTTTCAAATGATGATTTTTTTTTTTTTTTGGAATGATAGATCTTCAACAATATTGGTTTTCGCTGCACCAAAGAGACAGACGGATGTTCATTGGAACGGATATCACAATACCGGACACTGTGCTTCTTCGGTTTGTACTGTAGTGCTACCCCCACAGGAGCCGCTTGGTAGATTGGGTTCTCTGTTTTTTTTTGCCTTGACTCAGTGAATGACCTCAGCCCCTCTGACACAGCAGGCCAAGGGAAGAGGATATCGCAGTTTAAGAGCACGAATGTAAACATCCTGCACACTCCATGGTTCACAGGAAGCGAACACCAGGCAGGCTAGTGATGATGGAATGCATTATTTTTACGAGTTAAACCAGATGGCAATATATACAGCGCTGTGAAAAAGTATTTGCCCCCTTCCTAATTATTTTTTTTTTTGCCTATTTCTGCATTTTTTTTGCCTATTTAAACAAATGTTAATCCTGTATTACACAACGATAACCCGAGGAAATAAAAAAAAAAATGCAGTTTTTAACCGCTTGCCGCCCTGCCACTGTATATATACGTGTGCAGGGCGGCAGTGGAGCGCAAAAGCCCGTTTTTTTTAGTAAAACGGGCTCCGCGCTCCCGACACTTTTGCGGGTAGGGGGTGCGCACGCGCACTCCCGCCGACCAGCGGGTGACACGATTCGATCCAGGAAATCAGATGATCGGTCCCTGTCCTATCCTGTCCTGTGTTGACAGTTACACAGGACAGGATATGATGTCATTCTTCTCTGCCTGGACACATTCCGTTCCAGACAGAGAAGAAGACACAGTAAAAGTGAGTACAAAGCACTACACTGACAGTTAGAACACTCTAGGACACATTTAACCCCATTGATCGCCCCCCCCAGTTAACCCCTTCACTGCCCTGTCACCAGTGTCACTGATCAGTGAAGCGATTTTTACTGATCACTGTATCAGTGTCGCTGGCGACTTCCGATAGAGTTAGCGCCCCTCCCAGATAGCGCCAGTTTGCCCGCTAGTACACCAGTAATCCCGTTTAACCCCTTAATCCCCCCAGTTAACCTCTTCACTGCCCTGTCATCAGTGTCACACTGATCAGTGAACCAATTTTTACTGATCACTGTATCAGTGTCGCTGGCGACTTCCGATAGTGTTATGCGCCCCTCCCAGATAGCGCCAGTTTGCCCGCTAGTACACCAGTAATCCCGTTTAACCCCTTGATCGCCCCCCCCCCCCCCAGTTAACCCCTTCACTGCCCTGTCACCAGTGTCACTGATTCAATGATCCAATTTTTACTGATCACTGTATCAGTGTCGCTGGCGACTTCCGATAGTGTTAGCGCCCCTCCCAGATAGCGCCAGTTTGCCCGCTAGTGCAGCAGAAATCCCATTTAACCCCTTGATCGCCCCCCCCCCCCAGTTAACCCCTTCACTGCCCTGTCACCAGTGTCATTGATTACAGTGAACAGATTTTTACTGATCACTGTATTAGTGTCGCTGGTGACTTCCGATAGTGTTAGCGCCCTCCTAGATAGCGCCAGTTTGCCCGCTAATGCACAGGGATTTTTTTTACCAAAAACATGGAGCAGAATACATTTTGGCTTAAATTTATAACTAACTTTGAGTTTACGATATATTTTTTTATAGCTGAAAGTAGAAAATATTGGTTTTTTTCAAACTTTTCGTGGTTTTTTTGGTTATAGCGCAAAAAACAAAAAGCGCACAGGTGATCAAATACCATCAAAAGAAAGCTCTATTTGTGTGAAAAAAAGGACGTAAATTTCGTTTGGAAGCAGCATTGCATGACCGTGCAATTATCATTTGAATTAGTGCAGCGCCAAACAGCAAAAAAAGGCATAAATTACAGTATCTATACCAGGGTGGGCAAACTTTTTGACTTGAGGTCCGCAATGGGTTCATATATTGGACCTGGGGGCCGGACCAAGAGTAGATGAATGATGTGTATGTGTGAATTAATATAAATTAAAAATTAAAATTTGTAACATTAAATTTTTAGATTAATTTAAGGTAGAAAAGCATAAAAAGAGTTATTTTACAAAACTTTTAATGCC